GGGGGGGGGGGGCGGCGTGGGTTCATGTTAAAGTGTTTCAGGGCAAATTTTAATTCAACCTTAGTACATCTAGTTTTTATGGTAAAAGTAAGTGTTGAATCTGATCTTTAAGCGCAATTCTGAGGGATAAATCGAGATAAAAGAGGTTCTTATGCCGTTCAGTCCAAAATATACGTTGTAATTCTCGAAAACAGATCTTATGGATCTGGGTTGGGTTGTTCAAAGGTGGGTTAGGATAATCTAGGGCTAGTGTGAAATTTGATTTCAGATCTGCAAGTTTCAAAAGAGAATTCAGTATAATTATTTTTGTCTAGAATCTTGTGATTGGATGCTTTGAAAAGAATAAGGAATATTTTTCCAAAAAGATATTTGAATAGAGAATTAAGGAAACGTGGATTAAAATTTAAACTTGGGTTAGTGCTAATCGCCCTTTGAACAACTGGAACCAGCTGAATGCTGTGCGAACTATTATAGATATGCATCATGGTCTGAAGTGTATATATTTTTTTCACCTGAGCAGTTCTGTCCATCTCCGCGGAATCCAGGTTTACAAATGCATTCGAATGATCCCTTGTTATTCTGGCAAGTTGAGTTTCCATGAGAACAGTTGTGGGTATTTTTCTCACATTCGTCGATGTCTGATATAAAACCAAGAATGATACAAATGATCATGATAAAGCGTAACGATGGGGAAGTGCGGAGGATGTGACTTTAACCTAAGAGTAAGGTAAAAAAACAGCTGCTCTAAAACATTCGTCGGGTCCTTCAAATCAAAAGCTTTAAACAAATTCAAAACTAGGAGTTCCCCCCGCGTGGCGCCATTTGACAAGACAGGAAAATTATTTAGTTTTGTATGGGTCTACAGGTACTCACACAATAGATTTTTGGCCAATCAGAGCGCTCGTTGTGTCCAAGTTATGTCATAAAACAGCATCATCTCCCAAATAATATTAGGTTACCATTTAAGGTGCCTTTGTTTCGGCCACTTCTATGTCTTTTTTTCGCACTGATACGACAAAGCATTATGTTCTAACAACTATTTAGTACCTGTGCAGCTGTTTCCGTCACCACTGAATCCTGGTTTACAAATGCACTTGAATGATCCCTTCGTATTGTTACAAGTGGCAGTTATATTGCTGCAGTTGTGGCTGCTTTGAGAGCACTCATCAATGTCTGAATTTAAATCAGTGGTCCACATCAATAAGGCTGATAAATAACAAAAATGAAGAGGGGCTAAAAACTACACTATGAATCTGAAAACAACAAGTTGCTCTAAAGGAAAAAAACTCTAACGTCGCTGTACTGCTAATAGAGGCTGGCTGAAGCTCTTTCTGACCACTTAGACAAAACCATAAAATGTAATTTTCTTAAACCATACCATGTCAGGAGCTCAGTACTTGAGTTTGCAATCGGAAAGCAATATACTGGTCCGTGGCATTCTTAAGGGGAAAGGAATACCAATGGATTGCATCTGTTTCATAGGATCGTATTCTGCAGGATTTTACCTTCGCATTCATGTCCATCTCCGCTGAATCCAGGATTACAAGAGCAGTTGTAAGATCCCTCGATGTTTGTGCAGTTGGCGTTCTCGCTACAATTGGGGTTTTGAACACACTCGTTGATGTCTGAAATGAACTCGAAATCAGCAGACTGTTAAAAGAAATTACGAAGAAGGGAAAGTGTAATGGTAATACTTTTAATTGATCTATCAAAATGCTAAAAATGGTATTCACAACAATTCTATCAATAATTATACATGGGGAATAGTGTTGGTATCTTTCTTTTGAAACATCGAAGTCTGAATAAATTCAAAATCTAATAATGTGGTAAACCTAAAAATATCTAATACTGTACAGACAAGCAAAAGGTGAAAGGCTAATCTAAAACACTACATACAAGGCTGCTAAGAAGCATTAAAAAACGTCAATGGCTCCTTTAGGAGCTACGATTTCAACATCACAATTCAAACACAGCGCGGCGCTTCACCCACGATCCTCGAAGGCAAACCAGGGCCGTCCGAAGGAGGGCAAAGGATGTCCCTGCTCGGATCCAGGAAATTTTTTGCGAGTACTGTTCTCCTTTCTTGGTGGCTATCAGCTCAGGCAGTCGACTGTGATATCTTATGCATTCCTTCCCCCTCCCCCCAGTAATTGTAAAACAAGTAACACAGAGGCGTGAACGAGCCATGCTCAACATTCAAAACTCTCCTTGAGTACAACCGCTTCTTTTCGTCTTCATGGATGCGATAAATCTGCTGTGGTTCCTGGTCCTTTTAAGACTCGGCATTAGGTTGGAAAACCCTCATACCAAAGAATGCCGAGCTCTGGAGATCCCAGCAGCCACGCCCTCGAACGTCCAATCTTGCGTCTTGTGCTCTATTGGACCCTCTACTGAGCTGCTCTTCAGTGATGTCTTGGAGAACTGGCTCGACCTCGACAACGCTACAGATTATACTCAAAAGGCTGGCCTCAAGGTATCTTGACTCATTATGACATTGGATTAAAAACCCCCTCGTTTAAAAATCACTTCGTGGTCTACCGTGAATTTTTCTCCACACGCAGATACTGATGGAATGTCATCGAATGGCCAATCATAGCATCACGAACCTCTCTCTTACTAAGGTTCAAACCATGTTCTTGAAGGGGAAGAACTGTGAGCCATACAGAGGAGCCTTTTCCTTGCGCTAGTTCTACAGCTCGCTTGGTCATCCCTGAGGCAATTTGTTTTAGGTTATCTGAAATCTCTGAGAGTTCTTCAGCTTTTCTACGTTTGACAGCCTGACGCCCAAACTCGAGGAGGGACTCGTTGGGTAGTTAATGAGTTTGAGCCATGATATGTTCCACGAGAGGAGATGTTACCTGAATAGATGATACATGTTCGCGTGACACCTCGTGACATGGGTTGCTCATGCCCAGGCCGCCTAGGCGCACTGGTAGTGCAAGAACATTTCTATCCAGTTTGCTACACTTGCGCTCAACGATTGGTGGTATAAGGACCTCGGAAATAGTCTTTTCAAGTGCCTCTAGAAGATTTTGGATATCAGGGAGAGTTCGTGGGAAGAACGCCCAATGATGTTTTAAACCAAACGTGTTGACGGCATAGCTGGCTTGCGGTTGAACCTGTAAAAATTCGGCAAGGTAAACAACTTCATTAACCCAGACTTCTCGTTGACTTAGTCTTGCAAATAATCTTATGAGCCTATCACCGCTCCAAGATGCTTCTGCCCCTCTACTGTCACGTTAATGCCTGTATCTTTTTAAAGCTTCTCTAACAAGTGCCTCCTTTTTTGGCTTTGCAATAATCCAGCAATTTTTTGCGTTTGGAAAGTAGTCAACATCTTCACCGAATGTATTGAGACCATCCCCCCATTGCTTGATTTCTGAGATAGTGGCAGCTCCACTAGCATCATCTGCAAACCAGTATTCCTTTACATCCAACATGGCCTATAAACTAGTTATCAAGGGCTGGATGCTGAGAGCATATAGTGCCATAGCAAGTGGGTCGCCTTGATATGTTCCCTCGGCTGATGTTATCTCTTTGCCACCGGTGATAACTAACCGGGCGGAATGGCGATATATGTTTATGGTGTGAACTTCAATGACAGAACAGAGAACGCGGATATTGCGTAAAGCCGCTGCCTTGTTAAAGGCATTAAATGTATTAGACGCGTCACTGTCATCTGCTTCGAAGACTCTATGCATAGCGCGTATTGCAGCTTCGGTCCCTGATTTCTGTCCCACACATAATTGTAACGAGCCACTTGCCTCAACTACATCCGGCTTGGCTATATTCATGACGCACCTCCCGCATATTCTCCTGATCACTTCTCCAACTCCTATTGGCCTCACAGCATTCTCTCCCTTATCTAGAGGGACGAGGCGACTCAATACTAATGGCGCTATGGTTGAAGGATCAATGTATTGAGTGCATAGAGTCTTTTGCCATTGTAGCTATCGCCTCACACAGCTTTGTCGATGACTGTTTGAACGATTTACAAGCCAGCACTCGTCTGAAGCTGTTTGCATCAACACCACAGGGACTCCTAGAACCTTTTGCTCTGAAAGCAGCTTGTCTGACCGTCTCACCGTTGATCCCAGAGTAAACTGATTCAGGAAATTCGTCACCAATCGGCCCAAACAGGAGTGAGCCCGACTTAGCTGAGGATTGGGGTGTTTTAGCTGTAGTTGCACCATAACCTCATCGGTCAGCGGTAGTACGCCACCACTGGTACTTTCGCTCAGGAAGCGAAAAGCTGAATTTATCTGACCCTTGAGCACGAGTTTGGTGAACACCTTCGATTTACTACGTGAATCTGTAGATCTGAGTTTTCCTATTCGACTTTTAAGAATCCGACCTTCGCGCAGCAACTAGAAATGGCAGTACTATTTATGATGATAATAATAACGGTGATAATAATGATAATAACGGTAATAAGAGAGATGATGAAAAACCTCTGTTAAAACTCAAATACCACCTCACAATAATCCTAAATTTGCACTGATTTTAAACTTGTATGGCTAAAGCAAAATAAGGGTTCACTGGTAAAATAATAACTTATAATCATAGTTTAAAATGATGATGATGATGATGATGATGTTGATAAAATTATAATAGTAATAATAATAATAGTAATACAAATAATAATAGCCAATAATAATAATAATAATCAAGAAACAATGAAAAATGATAAAAACAAAATCAAAAAGCAAAAACATAAAAAATAGCGCTTACCTTATTTTCTTAGATACCCCAATATTACATCTCCGTCAAGGTTATCGCTTTCTATGCATGTTTGCAAGTTTACGTGTAAGAAATCTCGTGCTCTGAATAATATGACAGTGAAACATAATAAAAAAACAAAAACAAAAAATTAAAATCGGAGCTCGCCTTCTTTTTCTTTATTAGATACCAGAATATCACATCTCCGTCAAGGTTTTAATGCAGAGGGGTTGGTAAGTTTTAATTGGTTATCTTTTTTAAAGCTTATAGCCTCGAATTCTTTTGAGAAACTCATATAAAGATCCGCTAAAGTTTTATCAAGGTCATCTAAAATTAATGAACATATTTTCACAGATTCTTTGCTCGCACGAACTCAAAGAAGAGCTTATAGTTACGCCAAAATCAGGGAAATAAAAATTGATGTATTGACTACGTGGAAAGGAAACTGTTTGAATTCGAAAAATTGCTTACAATATTTCTCAATTGTCCTGTGGAGATAAGAACCTCTCCTTGGGCACATTATTATTCGCCGGTGTCATATTTAGGATATATCAACAAAGTTGAAATGGTAAATTGGCCACCGTAACGGTTACAAAAGGTTACGTTTCGAGCGGTAGCCCTTCGTCGGAGCGAAGGTGTCATGTTTAGTTGACATTTGTTTTGAACTGAGGAAAACCGCCGCAGTAAAATTTGTACACTTCGAAAACATATTGCCGACAGCTGTAAAACATATACCAAACGCTTGTCTTGTAATTTGTAGAACTTGGCATTCGAGGCAAATTTTTTTCGTCATAGCAGCCTTCCTATGTTGTCTAAAGCAATTTTTGCAAGCCTGTTGAGTAAGTTTGTTCAAAACTAATAAAGTAAGAGGGAGTTGTTGAAATGCAGGCAGAACAATTATGTTTCCAATGATGCAAAAGTAATACTGGCTGCGAATGAGTGAGAACATCAAAACTTCTCATTTGACAGGTGGCTAAGAGATAGACGACATGGATGTCTACCATCAACATATTGAAGTTTTTTATATTCAACAACTCTTTATTGGTGCATTTTCATAATTCATTTAAAATCGATGCACAATGAAGCGACGGGAAGATTTTAAACTTCAGTAGCGGTTTCCCAGGCTTTTTTCTATTTCATTCAACATGTACAGGTCTTATTATAAAGAAATGTAATTAATATGGTTCATGAAAAAAGTCAAACAGAAGAAAGAATTGCTTGAGGTGGGGCAAAAATCAAGTGCTAAATTTGCTGCTTAGAAGCGAAAAAGAAACAGGTTTTCTGTATTTACGACGCCTGCGTAGTACATTTAGCATGCTTGAATCATTTTCGGCTTGAATTTACGACCAAAATGTGAAGCTCTGTGTCGAATATTCTGAAATTGTAAGATTTATAGACAAAATATTCAATTCAACAACACTCAAATAGTTTTTACTATTTAAAGAAGAGTTTCGAAGATCGCAAAGCCTCGCGTTACGTAAAAAAGTTCGGTTTCATTTCTATGGCCATAACTCGTACTGCGTTATTGTTTTCTGTTTAGATATTTACTTTATATCTTGAGCTTCAGTAGATGTATCTCTATCGGAATGAAACACTGAAAAACAATCTTAGTGTGAGTTCTGAAACCACTCGGCTAAGCTAGACGGGAACTTACCAGCTGAAGTTAATCGCACACGTCGTATTATATATTTTTGTCTTTTATGCTTTTTGGGTTTTGGTTTTTTGGTGTTTTTGCTATTTTATTACTCTTATAGTCTTACCTAAATACCTCTTTGGAGGTCTGTTTCCACATGAGGTCAGGGACTCCTGTACAAAATCTCAAATTGAAATCAACCGCCTACCGTCAAAGCCACCCCGACCCCCACCTCCAACCCCCATTCACTATTGACACCGTCATAGTACTACTGTGTGTAAGTAGAACAAACCATAGAAATTGACAATTACTACGAGAACTTGGAGTTGACGAAGATATGAAAAGGATATCTTAAAACAAAGCTATTGCTCTCACAGTTCCGATGCATCGCTGAACGCTGTGTGAATATATAAACTTTTACATAAGCTTAAACGTTTTTCCCTCCATAGAAAATCCAAAGACATTCATCATCGAAGTCAGATGCATGTTTTTTTTCAGTAAAGCCTTTGGCCCCTTTACAACCCAGCCTAAATGAAAGCCCGCATTATTATTAATGCTTCGACACGAGTTTTCTTCGCCAGCGGGAAAGCGTGAGCCTTTGAGGAAGAGAGCCAGCGGCGGTCCACTTGTCACCGATTCGTTTCAAATCTTCCCGGGGAGGAGAAACGCGAGCCAGTCTTGCTCTGCTTATGACGAGGGCCTACTTGGAAGCTATTCACAGGCACTCAGACTACTCTTATTTTTTTTTTACCTTTGCAGTGTCACTCAATCCAAGCCAGATGCTTCCAGTACTGTATCCTCTCTACTTTTTACCTTTGCTCCCTCTGCGCAAGGCCGCTAGTTCGCGGTGTGAGACGGTTGAGCAGTCAGAGGGTGGAAAGGCTCTCAAAGGTCACATCTTTTAAAAAAAAAAAGGTACAACATCCGTACGAGTGTCTGGCGTTTTGCTACAGCGAGCTCACATGTCAAAGCCACAATTACGTTAAAACTGGCCAAATTTGTGAGTTGAATAACAGAACCAAAGAAGCAAGACCCGAAGATTTTGCCCATGATGAAACTAGATTTTACATGCGTCGGTGGAAAAACAGAGGTATGCAAAAAACAACATAGTCTTTGTTAGTATTATCAAATAAATGCGGTAAGTACAAAATAAAAAGTTATTTACATAGTTCCTTCCACTTGCAAAATGATAACTAATTGTTCTTGTTAAGAAAAGATTTTCAGCCATACATCTAATATTTAAATCTTCCATATGACGGTAGCGCACTTTCAGCAACTTTTGATAAGGGAAGGTAGTATTGAAGAGAGGGCGGGAGATATAGACAGAAAGACATAAAGAAGGGGCCAGCTTAAAGCTCATTCAAAGATGGCAAAAGTCTAGTGCATTATCACAATATCACTAGATTAAAATGATATGTGACGAACTCCGCCAGCATTGTTGTGGGACCGAGGTGAAACTCAGGTATATTTGGAACACATTCCGCAGAATGCGCGTGTATTTTATTATATTTAAAGCCTAATTATTATATTAAAGAATAATTGAGGTGGAGAGGAGGGTGGGGAGAGGGCTAAGGGTGGGGTGGGGGTGGGGAGATACTGAGCTAGAAGTCTCCTCTATTCAACAAAGGAAGTTGAGCTCAACGGTGATGAGAGCTTGATGAGGTTGGCCTATGGTATTTCCAAAGATGTTAGCCTCAGAGTAAGCACGTATTAACATTCTAAAAGTTTTACGCAATGAAACTTAACATCTCAGACGTAACCTTATAGCAGTCAAGGAGTTGTTGATTTCGAAACTATATCATGCGATTTGGTAAGACCACATTGGGGTATACCTTGTTGAAATGATCTTTGTTTCGTTAATAGAACGTAAATGGATCTAAACAGTAAATGCCATCGAGCGATAACTATTTCATTGCTCCTTTTTAAAGTCCCTTTAGGTTCCATTCCCGAGATGCCTGCCGAGTCTTGTAGAGAGATCAAAGCCAGCGAACAAGGAATAGCAGTCAGCGGGAGATATTGCCTGGAGCCCCTGGAGACAAAAATGAAGTCCAAGGAATTTCTGGTAACTAAATGATTATTCCTTACTTA